CCCTTTTAAAGCATGCAATCCGTTGGTTCCAACTGGAAAATATTCAGTCGTGCACCCACCACCTCCCTCTAACCCAGCAGGTTTTCACCTGCCGGTCAGGGACCATCAGCAACTACCACCACCCTCCAACCCAGAAGGTTTTCATCCCCTGGGCAGCCATTCGCCCAGCCCCCGGCAGCCCCCGCACCCCCTGTCAGCCCCCATCAGCCCCCATCAGCCCCCGTCCCTGCGTTCACCTTTTCTGGGCATTTCATCAGAATGGACTCACAACACGGTGTTGCTTCACACGCGGGATGCTTTCTGGCCCCACGTGTGTTGGTGTGGGTGTCAGCGCTTCCTTCCCTTCTGTGTATCCCTTCGTCAGTGGACGTGCGTTTGGAGGCTGCCACCTGTGTCTTCCTTGAAGAGTGCAGCTGTGAACCTTCGCGCCGAATTTTTTGTGCCCCTCCTGGAGTTGCTCGAGATGTTTCCCTTGGTCAGTTTGTGTCCTCTGGTCAGTCCCATCAGCACAGGGTGGATTTTTACTTCAGCTGGAACTGGATGCCAGCCCTCCAGGGGACATGCCACGTGGCTTTCTGATGCCGTTTGGACAATGGGTTGTTAATGAGTCGTTAGGAAACCTGCTACTTGACACAGACAGTTTGGTGCCTGGTTTCAGCTTTGCTTTGCTGATGGAAGCCTCTGGCTGTGGGGCTGGCTGAACTGTGTCGCTGATCCTGTCTGGGAACACAGAGAGGCTGGGGTCTCCATCCTCTTGCCCTGGAGAGCTTCCTGACTACCTGTGTCTTTACTCTGAATCCTGAAAAAAACCCTGTGTGGTGTGACCCCGTTTTTTGTTGCTTGTTTGTTTGTTTGAGACGGAGCCTCGCTCTGTCATCCAAGCTGGAGAGCAGTGGAGCCATCTTGTCACTGCAGCCTCCACCTTGGGGTTCAAGCGATTCTCCTGCCTCAGCCTCCTGAGTAGCTAGGACTACAGGCGCCCCCATGCCCAGCTATTTTTTTTTTTTTTTTTTTTTTTTTAAGTAGAGATGGAGTTTCACCATGTTAGCCAGGCTGGTCTTGAACTCCTGGCCTCAAGCGATCTGCCTGCCTCAGCTTCCCAAAGTGCTGGAATTACAGACATGAACCACTGTGCCTGGTGGGGACCCTGTTTTGTCTGTGCCACCATTTATGCACAGCATGTCTGGCCCTGGGTTCAAGACTGGTGAGGTTCAAAAGTTACATGATTGGGGCTCCTGAGTTTGTTTTTGTTGCTAACTGTACAGAGAACCAGAATCTTCGGGCTGGGAGGACCACGAAGGTTGGCCCTTCTAATCCCTTCATGTCGCTGCTGACGACATTTGACAGAGACACGTGGTGTGATGCAGCCACCGCCACAGAGCCAGTGAGCAGCAGGGACCGGGCGCCCCATCCCCAGGCCGCCATTTGGGATTGTGTCTACATCCTCTGGAGGTCCAGCGTATTTTCAGCTCTGTTCCTTTTGGTCAGTTTAGTCTTCCTAGAATTTGAACATTTGTGGGCTGCTCTGTCTGTGGAGTAGCCATTCTTTTATTTGTTTAGTTTTGTAATGAACTTGCTTTCACTTTGAAAAAAAAAAAAGTGAACATTTGTGGAGAATGCAACACAAAGAGCTCCCTTTGGTTCGAAGCGTGAACCCGAAGAGACACTTAGGTTTCTGACCTTCCTGATGCCCTGGGTGAGGCCGTCTAAGTGACCTCATGGCCTCAGGTCCTTTCCTGATCCAGTCTGGTATCTGTTACGCTGACAAGGCTGCCAGGCAAGCAACCCACTTGCCAGGCAAGGCCCATTGCATGTTGGCAGCTGATTTTGTGATGTCATGGCACAGACAAAAATAGTCATTCCTACTTGTGTCGGTTTAAACGCCACTACACTGTTGGGCCGTATTTGAGTTGTTTTTGATGTAATTATTTAACGATAAACGTCTGCTCGGCACTGTTGAGAATATGGAGTGGACTTCATCCATGCGTCCCGATCGTGCCTCCAGGAGACAGGGTCCCTTTGTAGCTGGCTGGAAGCGTCCGGGCAGCGTGAGCTCGCCGTGGCGTGGGCGATGCCACACGGCTCCAGGAAAGCGTTCAGCTTTCAGAGCCAGTGTCTGGGCTCGTGGCCACTCCTGAAATTCAGTTGCTTTCTTTGAAGCTTAGAAGAAAGTTTCTACGGTTTTCACTTTTGTATTAAAAGATACCTGTATGCTTTTCTCTCTTTTTCTGGTTCACTTATATTCTTATTCAGTGCAATTTCCTGATTCCACGAGAATGAGAAGCATCTGTTTGGCTGTGATCTGAGAAAACAAAGGAGCCAGGGACTTTTCTTAGCCTTTATAGGCAGCAGTTTATTTGTGAAGCTCCTAAGATACTTTTAAAGTCCACATCCCTGCATCCCTTAGGTTTGTTTTTTTTTTTTGAGACGGAGTCTTGCTCTGTCCCCCAGGCTGGAGTGCAGTGGCCGGATCTCAGCTCACTGCAAGCTCCTCCTCTCGGGTTCACGCCATTCTCCTGCCTCAGCCTCCCGAGTAGCTGGGACTACAGGCATCCGCCACTTCGCCCGGCTAGTTTTTTGTATTTTTTAGTAGAGACGGGGTTTCACCGTGTTAGCCAGGATGGTCTCGATCTCCTGACCTCATGATCCGCCCGTCTCGGCCTCCCAAAGTGCTGGGATTACAGGCTTGAGCCACCGCGCCCGGCCAGGTTTGTTGACTTCACCACAAAATAGAGGCAGCTGGGAAGGCCCCCGTCAGGCGTGGAGACCCAGTCCCAAGGAGGAGGGCCTGTCTTTGTGGGGAGGGGCAGCCAGACTGTGGCATGGTCAGGGCAGTGGGGCTGTGCTGCCCACCTGGCTTTGAGTCTAGGATGACAGTTACTGCATGGCCAGCAGGCTCGCGGGGAGGCCACAACCCAAGGTCGCGCCGAGGAAAACTGCCTCTGGCTCATTTGAGGGTGGAGTGCTCCTCACTGGCCTCGTGGCTGCCTTGTGTATGTCTGTCCCCAGGAGCGTGGAAGCCTCGGCTCCCCGTGGAAACGCTGGTTCATAGTCTCAGCCGAACATCTCTGAAAACACAGTTGGGGCACGCGGGGACTGCTGTGATCTCTTTCCTTTATTTTACTTAGACTGTTCTGCAAAGCTGAGTCCTAATAAAAGAAATTGGAAGTGAATTACCTGCCGATGGACTTTATTACAGCAAATGTGCAGACATTCACACAGCTCCTGTCCGGAATGTTCTGGGTGGGACAGTGTGGAAAGGCTTCCTCTGAAAGGACGTTAGAGGAGCAGAGGAGCTGATGACATAAACAAGACCAAAAACAGCCAGTGTGAGGTTATAAACAAGAGCACCACGCAGACAGGGACTCCAGACTGTTCAGGCCTTGCCTGCCTCTTTTGGCTTTAAAAAAACAAGAGTTCCCTGAAGCACCAAGGGGCAGCCCACACAGAGAGGAGTCGCCCCGAGCGTTCACAGGCATCTGTGCTGGGCCGGGCCCCTGGCCGTGTTCTGTTCCTGTTGCCTCATTTCATGCTCCAGGACCCTGAGAAAGTGCTGGCATCCGCCTCATGGGTCAGAAGCCCAGTGGGAAACTGTCCCCGTGCCTGCGGCGAGGAGTGGCCCAGCAGCCAACGGTCAGCCCTTCGACGGCAGTGCCCACTCGTCCTTTCCACCCCATCGCACCAGCGTTCCCTTCACGGAGGAGGCTTCCGTCTCCTCTTCAGCTGTGTTTCTCATGCCCCAGAAAGGCTAGTGTCTTGCAGTTCCTTCAGAGAAGTGGGTCATGGGACGAGAGCCATATGCTAAGGCCACGTATTCTGAGGCGGGCCCGGGGCCATGTACCAGGACCATGTGTTCCGAGGTGGGCCCGGGGCCATGTGCTGGGGCCGTGCATTCTGAGGTGAGCTGGGGCCATGGCCAGGGCTGCGTATTCAGATGTGGCATTTGGATTTCTCATGACGAGCTAAGGTATTTTTGTGGTTTTCGTGCTGACATCAAATGGCCCGCCTGAGTGTTGTTGAAATATTTCTTGTCAGAGCTGTTTTCTTGACTCCTCCAAATACAGTGTTCTGAGTAATACAGATGGTCAGGCCCAAGTCATCTTTGCAGGAGAGCCTTCCTGTTCCTGAGCAGACACCCGGAAGGGTTGAGTGACTCTTCTACATGTGCAGATGCAGGGCCGGTGACCCCACAGTGGGGCAAGAACCTGGAGGGTTCTTAGTTTTGCCCAGGAAAGAATTCAGGGGCAAGCAGGAGCAGGAGGGGGAAGAAAACAGCTTTATTGAAGAGGCAGGGCTACAGCTCCCTCACCGCCCTTGCAGAGCGGCACTGCCCCATAGGCGGAGAGGAGTAACTCAGGGCAGGTTTAATTGCATGCCGATTAAGGGGTGGTTTATGCAGAAATTTCTAGAAGGATGTGACTTCCGGGCAATCAGGTCATTGCCATGGAACAGGGCGGCGGCTCCTGGCTGTTGCCATGGCAATGCTAAACCGACAGGCACACTGCGGGCATGTCTGATGGAAAGCTGCCTCTGCCCCAGCCCTGTTTTCGCTAGTCCTCAATCGGGTCCGGTGTCCAAGCCCCATCCCTGGAGTCGAGTCCTGCCTTCTACCCCAATATCCTAGTTTTTCTTTCTTCTGCCATTAAAGACCTTTCCCAGCATCACTGTCTCTTCTGTTTTGGAAGCCATGCATTCTGTTCTTATGTGCATGCCCTGAGCTCTTGCCACTGGCAGTCAGCTTTGGAGTTCACTGTGTGGCTCTCACAGGAGCACAGACCCTCCTGGTGCTCACCAGAAGACCTTGGCCCAGGAGGGCTGCGTAAGACAGGGTGGCTCCGTCCCGGGTGCTGGGGCCCAGGTCTCCCCGCAGCCCTGAACAATGCTGTCAGTAGCAGGTACAAGTCTCCTTTCCGACGAACATGCCTCAAGGCAACATTCTGGGCAAGAGCCTCTGATGCGGGTTCTGAGGAAGCTGCCTAACACTGCTCTCCTTTCCGCAGTGTGCAGGAGAAGAGAATTGGGTGGACAGCAGGACCATCTACGTGGGACACAGGGAGCCACCTCCGGGCGCAGAGGCCTACATCCCACAGAGATACCCAGACAACAGGATCGTCTCGTCCAAGGTAACTCGGGTCTGAGTGTCCACGATGTGTCTAAAAAGCAGTTGCCGGGGGGGGTGTTAGTGCTTCTCGGTTTCAAAGACCAGCTCTGCTCCTGGCCCTGCTGTCACGGCCACCAGCCACCCCTAGCAAAGGCTTCGGATCAGGACCTCACCAAGGGTGCTGCACTCTCCCTCCTGGTGACCACCCACAGAAGGCTTTCCACCTGGCCAGGGCTCACAGCGCAGTGTCTCCACTCTCGGGCGACTGTGTCACAGAGGCAGCGTAGTTCTGAAGTCCAGGATCCAAACCCCACCCAGCTCCCACTTCTGAGGCGTCTGGCCATGTGCTTCTCGTGGGCCACCCTGGCCAGAGTCTCAGCACTGGTAAGGCAGAAACGCTACCAGCCACCCTGGAGAAGGAGCCAACAAACGCAGGCCAGACGTAGACCCGGGGAGGTCTTTGAGCTTGTTCAGGAGGTGCAGCCCAGGCACAGCGTAGGAAGCGTGAGCAGAGTGCCGCGGTCTAAACAGAGCATATTTCTCTCCATGGACGGGAGCGTGGAAGTGCACACACATTTCCCACGTTCCAAGAGTGACCTGGAAACGGGTCTTAAGAATAGGGTGGAAATTTAGCTGCCGCCGTTAAACACGGGGTAAACTGTGCTTTCCAGATAATGTGGAACGCGTGTGCCTGTGTTCAGACTCCATTTATCTTCATTGTCCTTCAAAATGGATGAGCCAAACACAGGCACACACGTGACTGAGCTGCACACGGGGACGCGTGTGGCGGCCCACAATTCACACGTGTGTCCTTACATGCAAACGCACTTAATTCACCCTGGGCGTCCTGACGTGTAGACCCCTGTGTAGACCTACTTAATTCACACCAGGCATCTTGACGTGTAGACCGCTGTGTAGACCTACTTGATTCACACCAGGTGTCCTGACGTGTAGACCGCTGTGTAGACCTACTTAATTCACACCAGGTGTCGTGACGCGTAGACTTCTGTGTAGACCTACTTAATCCACACCGGGTGTCCTGATGTACAGACCCCTGTGGAGACCTACTTAATTCACACCCAGCATCCTGACGTGTAGACCCCTGTGGTAGACCTACTTAATCCACACCGGTGTCCTGATGTATAGACCCCTGTGGTAGACCTACTTCATTCACACCTGACGTCCTGACGTGTAGACCCCTGTGGTAGACCCACCCTGTGGTAGACCTACTTCATTCACACCTGACGTCCTGACGTGTAGACCCCTGTGGTAGACCTACTTAATCCACACCGGGCATCCTGACGTGTAGACCCCTATGTAGAGCTACTTAATTCACACCAGGTGTCCTGATGTGTAGGCTCCTGTGTAGACCTACTTAATTCACACCGGGTGTCCTGATGTGTAGACCCCTGTGGAGATCTGCTTAATCCACACCAGGTGTCCTGGCATGTAGACCCCTGTGGTTCTTAATTATTTATGTGCTCTTGAAGAGTTGCACATTTTTGAAGAATAATTTACAACAGAAAAGGTCACCTTTTTAAAGCATTTTTATGGGATTATTTAATGTGTAACTGTAGGATTACAAAAAAATTTTAATAGCTTTAATCTCTAGAAACAGGACACATAAATGCTGAAAAACAAAGTCCCAACCAGATAAGTGCTGTGGGTGGTTTCCCAGGCATGATTCATGGAAGAAGAAATGTACTGATGAGAAATCACATCCAAAATATTGTCTCTGAGTGGTGATATTCATAAAGTTTTAAAGTCGGCGCAGTCTCAGGCGGAGCTCACTGAAGGTAGTTTCCAAGCTAGTATGTACTTCACCTACCCTCCAGCCCAAAACGAATCCCAGACGTACTTCTTAGAACTCAGCCTGCGCGGCCCAGAGGTGCAGAGAGGCAGGGAGCACCCAGTGTCCACATGTGGTGCCACTGTGGACTTGTAGGGCGGGATTCCAGGATCTGGGTGATGGGTGTGTGGAACCGTGGCCCCCCCTGCACAGCGGGGCTCATCTCAGCCGGATGGGGGCTGTGAAGGCATCACCCAGCCCACCTCCTGGGAGCTGGCTTCTCCGTTCCTGGGGCAGAGCTCGCCCGACCGCCCCGTGTGCCTGGTTCTCCCTGCAGATGAGGTGCTGTGTGGGCCACAGGGAAGAAACCAGCAGATGAGGTGCCGTGTGGGGCCGCAGGGAGGAAACCAGCAGATGAGGTGCCGTGTGGGGCCGCAGGGAGGAAACCAGCAGTAGCAGCAGAGCTTGATCCAGGCATTGGAGGAGGGTCCTGGTCCCCCTGGCAGGGGCTGGCGGGAAACTGCTTCCTGTGATTGCCCATGGCGGTTTTAAAGGAGATAACAGAGCACAACGATTCCTGACCCCTTTGCTATATCATTCAAGTTTTGTCATTTCCCTACTGTCTGTTTCGAACATCCCTGCAGGCAGTGGCCTCGGTGGCTTCACGCCTCCCGGCCCTGCTCCCAGGCTCTGCGCTACCCACTCTCCCCCTCGGCTGGGCCTTCCCCCCCGCTCCGCTGCTCCCTGTGGAACTGGAGCCCCTTGAGGCCTCTGCGGTTTCTGATCCGGGAAGCCCTGCGGTGGCTGGGTTGTCAGGATGGGTTTTGTGGGCTTATTGCCGGTTTTCAGGGCCTTTTAGAAGCCGTAAGTCTCCTTCCTACCAGGAAGCCCTCACGCAGGAACACACAGACCGGGGTCAACAGGCTCTCAGCAGCGCCATCTGAGCGCAGGTGGAGGGCGCGGCGGGGCCAGGAGAGCACTTGGGCGCCTTTCATCTCAGCCTCCGAGGACAGAAGGGGGCTGTGCTCTCAAATCCACCCATGCATTGAGATCTTCGCTCTTCACAGAGGTGGGATTAGCGGCTTAGTCTCAGTTTCAAGTGGATGAGGTTGTGTAATTTCGGGGGAAAATTACGTCCGGCATAACCTCTTTTGCTAATAGAACTCAGGAAGGAAAGGCCCTCAGAAAGGCTGGAGTCTGGAATCTAGGCAGGTAGCTGGCCTGACAGTAACCTTGATCCAGATAAACCAAAGTGGAATTCTGGAACCTGGACTTGAGGACTCATAATTATTTTAATTTAACAGCTCAAGATGTGTGAAAAAATGCTGTCTAATTTGTAAAACGTAAGTTTATGGCTGATTTTGGAGAATACAGTTGTGACAGTGTGTCTGTGTTTTCCTGGTCTCGGGGAGGAAATGATTTCTACCTAAAAGAAAGAAATGCTAGTAGTTAAGACTTTTTAAGTACCACAGAAGCTTGTTCTCAGCAAGTTTGCTTTTATGAAATCAAAGGATGAAAGCCTTTGTCATGGAAGAAGTCTTAACGGGATGAAAATGCTGTCGGATTATTTTTAACTTCTCATCTGTTTGATGGAACTGCAGTTACTGGTGATCGGTGATTGATAGAATTCCGTTTCCTTCTTGGGGAGAGACTTTGGGCAATGTCAAAAACCCGAAATGATAGCCCAGCATGCCCCGTTCCCTGCTGCTTGTGCTGTGCAGAGCTCCCCCAGGCCTGCTTGCACTCCCCACGTGGGGAATGCTGAACTCCAGAAAGTGATGGATCACTGCATGCCTCCCTTTCCAGATTTGTACTTCAGGGCACAGAATTCACGTGGTTCCCTGCTTTGCCCACAGGAGGCTACAGAATTAAATCTTGGCTTAGCCTATGCTTAGCCTATGCTGTCCCTCCATGCCTTCAAGAAAGCTGAATCCCCTTCTGGTAACTGGGGAGGAAAAATTCCCTCTGCAATTCGTAGGTATAGCCAATGTTTTCATGACTTATATTTGTATAAATGATTTCCGTGTTTTATTATATCGTGTAACTTCTAAACAACCCTGTGAACCCCCAATACTGATTATTCCTGACATATTCATGAAGAAGCTGAGGCTTAGAGCTCAGTCGTGTGTCTGAGGCCACCGAAGAGGATAGACTAGTCCGTAACCCCTGTAGTCTGGCACTGGGCTTGGACTTCTTTCTGCAGAGCCTGGGACCCTTTTCTTTTGTTTTCTTTTCTTGTTTTGTTTTGTTTTTGTTTTTGTTTTGAGACAGAGTCTCTCTCTGCCCAGGCTGGAGTACAGTGCCATGATCCTGGCTCACTGCAACCTCCACCTCCCGGTTCAAGTGATTCTCCTGCCTCAGCCTCCCGAGTAGCTGGAACTACAGGCGCCTGCCACCACACCCAGCTGATTTTTGTATTTTTAGCAGAGATGGGGTTTTGCCATTGTTGGCCAGGCTGATCTTGAACTCCTGACCTCAGGTGATTTGCCCGCCTTGGCCTCCCGAAGTGCTGGGTTTACAGGCGTGAGCCGCCGTGCCTGTCCAGGGGCACTTTTCTTAACAGCCCCTCTGGGTGCTCATGAATTTCCAGCATCAGTAATCCACCGTCCTGGCATAATTTTCTGTGTTTTGCGTCCCTGCCTCCCAAACGAAAGAGTGACCTCATTTCCATGCGGGTGGCTTGTTGTCCCAAGCAGATGGGTGTTCGGTGTCCCCGTCATTTTCAGGACTGTCAGGTGGGCCCTGCGGTGCTGGGGCCGTGTTCAGGTAAACACTAGCTGAGGCTTTAGACAGCTTTCAGGGGCTCCTGCGGGCGCCCGGGCTGCTGGCAGAGGACAGTGCCCGGGTTTGTCTCGTGGCCAGAGGCCAGAGGCAGGCCAGGTGAGGCCATGCTCTTCCCTGTATGCATACAACACTGCTGGTGAGTAACACAAAACCAGAGACTGACTTCCCAAGGGACAGGAGGCAGGCAGAAGCGTGAGGCTCAGACACGAGTGAGACGTTCCAGCTCAGGGCCAGAATCAGAGCCAGGGCAGCTGTGGACTCTGGCTGTGGTGTCTGTCGTACAAGTGAGAAATGAAAAGAATGACTGTCCCGTGTCATTCAGCAAAATGCATGGCGTCTTTGGAGGTGAAGAGAGGTGCTGAGGGCCACTCAGTTTTCCCAGATTTCCTGTAGGAGGAAAACCACTTGGTTTTGTGCTGTGGCTTTTTCATGCCAGGAGTTCCCGGGAT